GTGGCAGTAATGACAGAGCATGCGCTGTTATGCAAAAACCGCAATAGAGTGAAGCCGCGGAAGTCGAAGCGCGAAGTGGCGAGGGTTCACTGTACTGTCCATGGGTGGTTCCAGCCAGAAGGTTGGAGTGAGTCCACCCAGAGGTGCCTTGGAAGAGAGCTGGTGGTCTACTTCTGACAACATTAGCCCTGGAAGGCTCTGTGGGGCACTGGGCTGCTGTCACACACTAGGTCACTCTGAGTTGGTGTCAGTTCAAGGGCAACTGGATATTTTTTCCACTCTTCTACAAAACTACTTCCAGATGGTGGGGAGATGGCCCTTCCAGGGAGATGCAGTCTCTAACCAGGATGAAGCAAAAAGGAAGGAGATTGAAGGGAAGTGTGTGGGGGTGGGGGGTGGGGGGTGGGAGATGGGGGATGGACGTAGATAAAGGTGTATGGATGCTTAAAGAAGACATTGTCTTCTTTCTGATCTTTAACCTATTGGGAGTAAAACGTTACTGAGGCATCCATGCAGTCAGAGGTTCGCTTTAGATCCAGCTCATGCAGACAGATACATGTTTTCTCCAAGTTCCAAAGAACTACAGCCAGTCTAGTGAGGAAGCTGAGAGTGAATTTGCACTAGGCAAGAAAATGATGCACACAAGGTGTTGAGGAGGACTTACGTTGCCAACCTCACTTCCAAGAAAGTGGGTGGCTTGTCTTGTGTGTACTGAGTGTGGTTCCAGATTATGCAAAACAAAGTTGAGATGAAGCTGTTTATGGCGCTTGAATTCACCAGCATGCTAACATTAAGTGCTGTTTTCTTGTTTTTCTTTTCTTTTTCCTTTTTTTTAAATCGTTTTATTAGGGGCTCATACATCTCTTATCACAATCCATACATCCATCAATTGTGTAAAGCACATTTGTATATTCATTGCCCTGTCATTCTCAAAACATTTGCTCTCCACCTAAGCCTCTAGCATCAGCTCCTCATTTTCCTCTCCCTGCCCACTCCCCCTCCCTCATGAACCCTTGATAATTTATAAATTATTATTTTGTCATATCTTGCCCTGTCTGACATCTCCCTTCACCCACTTTTCTGTTGTCCATGCCCCAGGGAGGAGATCACATGTCTTTTGTTTTTAACAACAAATTTTAAGCTCTGGGGACCTAAAGATAAATCTAATCCATATGTCTCTGACTACATTTTGCTTTACCAGGAATGAGTATCCAAAGAGGTAGGTGACTTACAGACATGTAGGGTCAGGATGTGCTTACAAGGGCACCACAATTAGGGAGGAGGAGGGAACTTTACTTAACCATAAAGATCCATGTACATTCTCTGTGTGGTAAAGGGTCTAGTATGAATGAAGACTAGTCTCTTCTCCAAGGGTAGGCAGATGACTGGGGACTCTGGCCAGGAAAATCCTCAGGAGGTCACAACTGAGGACCAGACAGATATTGGGAGTAATCCCAAGGTCCATAGGGATGGGGGAGTGCATAACTGATCCGATTGAGCTTCCAGGTGCCACCAGCATTTCCAGGCCCAGAGACAATTGTCAGAAGAAGCTGGAAGCCTACAATAGTTTTGTGGAAGTCCTTGCTTTTTTGAATGCCCAAGGTCATAAAGATGCTGAATGGTCAACCCAAGACTGGTGGTACAGTGGTGAGGTGTTCATAGGCTAGCCCCACATTTTGCCGTTTGAATCCTTATCATTGGTGAACAATGAGGCAGTGATGTTCCATAAAGATTACAGCTTGGGAAACTATTGGGCTTTTCTGTTCAATCCTATAGGGTCACTATGAGTCAGCATTAACTCGACAGCAGTGGGTTTGGATAGGTTTAGGTTGAATTAAAAAACTCCATTCTTCATCATTTGCAACTTATTAAAATGTGGTTTTAGTTAGATGCCATTGAAACCATCCTGACTCATAGCGACCCTGAGTATAACAGATGGAAATCCGCATGGTCCTGCGTCGTCCTCACAATGTTTCTTTTGTTGAAGCTCATTATTATAGCCACTGCGTCAATCGACCTTGTCAAGGGTCTGCCTCCTTTTCGCTGCCCCTCTCCTCTAACAAGCATGATGTACTTCTCTAAGGAATCGTCCTTTCTGACAAAATGTCCAAAGTGCATGTGAAAAAGGCTTTCCATCCTTGCTTTTACAGAGCATTCTTGCTGTACTTCCAAGACAGTTTTGTGTATGTCTGAAAATAACTTAAAAAGGCACCATGCTTTCTTAAGTAAAGAGGAAGACGCTTCAGGAAGTGGATTGACATCTTGATTGGAATATTGGCCTCAAAAATAGCAACAATTATGAGAGCAGCAGGATTGGGAAGTATTTTGCTCTGTTGTCCACGAGGGTCACTATGAATCAGAACCAACTCAGTGGTTACCTAAGGGTGGCACGGAATTGGCTGAAGATAAAAGCAGGATGGATAGCCAGTGGGATGTGAACTATCATCCTTGTGTCAATGGTTAAATGGAATGTGTCTCAAGACAAAATGAAAGATCTGC